TCTTAGAAAAGATTATTCGGAAGGAACTGTTAAAGTATCTCGATGAAAACCGGATCCTCTCCGAAAAGCAGCATGGTTTTAGAACAGGTTACTCTTGTCTCACAAACTTATTAGTCGCTCGTGAAAGCTGGTGCGCTCTTAAGGACCAAAAATTACCTATAGACGTAGCTTACATCGATTTCAGCAAAGCTTTCGACAAAGTTCCGCATAACCGGCTGTTATATAAGCTAAGGAATGTCGGGATTGGAGGCAATCTATTGATGTGGATAAAAGACTTCCTAGTTGGGTGTCAACAAAGAGTAAGGGTGAACTCCAAGTTGTCTAGCTGGGAAACTGTGCTTAGTGGAGTCCCCCAGGGTACAGTTTTGGGGCCAGTGTTATTCCTCCTGTACGTAAATGACCTCCCTAGTCTACTATCGTCATCGGTCTTACTCTATGCTGATGATGTCAAGATATGGAGAGCGATACAAAGCAAGGGCGATAGCTTAGAACTTCAAAATGACCTGGAGAGATTATTTGAATGGTCCCAAACCTGGCAATTGCCGATAAACACTTCCAAGTGTATTGTGATGCATATTGGCCACCAGGGTACAGATACATACATGATGAATAACACTGAGTTACCTATTGTTCAGGCACACAATGACTTAGGCATCATCGTTAGTCAAGATTTAAAGACTACTGCACACTGCCGTGCAATAGCCGCCAAAGGTTTTAGGACTTTATGGTCCATACGCAGGGCTTTTAGGTATCTTGACGCTAAAACGTTTCTGACTTTGTATACAGTGTTCGTGCGCCCTAAACTTGAGTACTGCATACAAGCAGCTAGCCCCTGCCTAAAAAAAGACAGTGAACTCTTGGAAAGGGTTCAGAGAACAGCAACTAGGCTGATTCCCGGAATAGCCAAGCTCCCGTATGGTACTAGACTGGCCAAGCTAAACCTATTCCCGCTGTCATATAGAAGAATCAGAGGCGATTTGATTATAGTTTTCAAATTGCTTAATGACAAATTTGCACCTGATATGCCCTCATTTTTCTTGTCTTCCAAAACAGAAAATCTACGAGGACACTCCAAAAAAGTTCACAAGCCCCGAACGAATTACTTGTCAGCTGACTACCGACTTTCCCATCGAATAATCAACGAGTGGAATTCATTACCTCAGCACGTGGTTGAGGCTCCATCCGTCGACTCCTTCAAAAGAACATTGGATCAGCTGAGAGACCATCATTGCCAGGACTAACACAGGCCATCAAGCCTCCTGTCCTTTCCAAACTGAAACTGTTCTTTAGCCTCTTGTGTCCTAATTCTATCCAGAGAGTCACAAGTTTCTTTGTGACACCTAAGTAAACCATGTGCATGGGATCTAAGGGGAAAGTTGATATCATCTCTATTGGCAGATATTTGAATAAAGAATGTCCTTGATGGTGAATAGATTGTGTCTGATTCCTGAAACTGTCGTCAGTTCACCGTTTGGGAAAGTCATCTTTCCATCAAGTCGTCTATCATTTTCTGTTCTCGTTCTCTTTTCTTCGGTCTCCTTAGCACTCTGACACCAGTTATTTCACTTTTGATTCATGATACATACTACTTACATCTGTTGACATCAGTAGTACATATCGCAGTCTTAATGAACATATAAAACGATGTTTCATTTATCCACTTATGTATATTCTGCGATTGAACAATAAAAAAAACAGAGTTTTTCATCTCCTTTTGCACTTACAAGTGATCATATCATGTGTTATATCTGTGGCCGAGTGGACGACTAGTTGATGGGTGAGGTGATGAGACCGCCAATTAGAGAGCAGCGAATTGTCGATTGGAACGGTGACACACGAAACCGTACGAGGAGACTAGAGTGCTAACCGGTCCTACGATCTGCCTAGCCCAGCCAGTTAAGTCCAAAACACCAATAACAGCCTCAGTGGTATGAATCATTGTATTTCAAACATACTTAGTTTATATACCAACCAAACAAGCCATATCGACCCATAAAATAGATAATAACATTTGTACAATATTTAGCCGAATGTGACTGTGAATAGTAATCAACAAACTGACGATAACTCAAGAATCGTATGATAATAAGTCAAAGGTCAAAATAAAGTTAATGATAAGAGAAATACGAATATGAATAGTTCAGTTACGTAATAATTGTACAATAGGAAGTAGGCATATAACATTGATCCATAAATAGACCTAAAGTTACCATTCGTAATTCTCTTCGGGATACAACATTATGACAGTCGTATCTTCACATGCAGAAACTTGTTTTACCTGTAAATCAAAACAAATTACTCTAGTCAAATGCAAATATTACTAACAGTGATTGATTTCTGCCATCATTATTAAGATTGGCATTACCAACCATAATCTATCTTCATTCACATCAGTACATACACTTGTTAAGTTTGATAGTTAGTAATATCAAACATGTTTCAAATTGAATCTATTGTCAGTCAGTCATTAAGCAATATGTGACTAATAGCAGTTTCATCCATTCATGGATTTAATAAGATGAAATGCTGGTTCATTACTTTAATAATAATAGAAGTTAGAATAATGATGATACTGTAAAATCCTGTTTATATATCCAATGAAATTAGAAGTTGGACCTGTTGTTCCGCCGAATAACTTTCAGGTTCAACGAGAAATTAAAATGAAGACAATTGTGATTTAGGACTAGTAGTTAACAATGGGTGGTACACAAGGTAGCTTTCATGAATAGGACGATTAATTGCGGGTAATATCTGAATGAAAAAAACGGATGTAGTATTATATATAAATGATCAGGCATAAACAACAGAAGTATCTGTATGGGAAATATATGAATCACAGATATTATGAATGTTGATGCTGTTCGAAATTCCTATCTCGAACTAATCCACCACATAATAGAAGACATCATCTAAAAGCCATGTATTTTGTTCTTGGTTTTAGTGATTAGTTGAAGTTGTTACCATCCTTCATTTGGTTTTCTTTCAGATACATGTTCTTAATCTATAGTCCATTTACTTCGTCTTATGTGTTAAACAGAAAACTTAAGATAATTTGTGCTACGATAAACCTATGATGAGACGTGTTCTACCTGCTAACATCTTATCAGTTCGCATATGCATAATTTTGTGCATGTTATTTGCACTTCATATTTTTAAATAAACTATATATTTGTAATATCCCAATACTCATTGGGATATTACAAATATATAGTTTATTTATAACAATCTACCCAATGCTCAATTTATTCAAAATTATCAAATCAAGTCTTGGTAATGACACCTACTTCATATTTTTGTTCAATATAAGTATGTCTTGTGTGAGATGTCAGGTTATGAGCATATTTTAGCATCATTAAACCTTCGACTCAGTAGTATTTACAAATCTTTTTTTTGACAGGAAGCCGATTACCATGATTGTTATGTAATGAAATACTTCTGCTGTTCTTCTTTATTAAGTATCACTATCATGCATGGTGATAACTGTTGAGATCGCTTCAAGAAACATGAAGAAACCTCCAGAGCCCCGAAAAGAGCCGAAGAGATTCTATCCAATGAGAACCTAATAGAGCATTCTGTAAGATCAACGTGGTACGCTACGGTTGGACAGTAGCATAACTTGCCCTCTTGCAGGTTGGCTGAACGATAATGATATTGTAGCCAACACTAATAACCACGAATGCCCATGTCTTTCTGTACATTTTTGATTCTTACCTAATAATCACTTCCCTTTTCTGATCTGCGACTGTGGCATTCTACACATCCGAGTGCCGGTAGTTGTAATTCGTACTCTGCCGTAATCAACTAGAGGACGTGACGACAACTACATTTTTATATTCAGTATCACTTTTTTAGGAAAGTAAAGAAACTTCATAAGGAAATCTTACTAATCCTTAGAATGTGATTAAGTCTGTATTTAATTCTAATTAATCTATGCTGGATTGAAGCTTACCAAGTTCCAACGATCAAACATCTATCATAGCTGGTTTATGATAGCAAATCAAATCATCTGAAAATTATACACACTCATGAACTTTGATCACTTACCACAAGTTATTAAAGCATCAAAACAAACCTCTGTTTTGTACTGCTAAATTATTTCAAAGGTCAATTCATCTATACACAACTATACCTCACCATGTTTCCTCTCATTATTTGTATGTTGCTCTATTTTATTTAACTAAGAAGAAAATGAGTTTATGACAAAGATGACCACATCTTACATAATTGTTGATATGTTCTCCAAAAGTGAATTGATTATTATTTAGTCCAGAAAATAAGCACAATATTCAAGTACTTTGATCATTTATTAAAACTATGGAGTTTAACAATCTCCACAAAACCTCTCCCTCTATCTAAGTAGTCTATTATGAATGTTTCAAATAATGATAAACAAAACACTTCAGTAATTAGAATATCGAGTTCTATCTTTTAAAATTCTAGTAGATTAGAATGTACTCCATTATAATCCAACGATCCCAGGGAAGTCCTACTCACTGCCTTCTCGCACCAAGGGTGTTGTTTAAGAAAGTGGGAGGACTAAAAGCGAATATCCGGCGCTTTAATCGGGTTGGTGGACACGGCGAGTCAATCTAAGGGAGTTGGAAAACCCTGATTCCAAACCAATGGTACACACGGGCTCCATTACCCTGAGGGAACAAATGGCGTATGAACCAATCGTTGGTTACCGGCTACCATGGGACTGCATCTCTTCACGATGCTCCACTGCGTTGTGGATCAGATCTTTAGGTCAAAGGCTCCAGGTGTGGACCTCTAAGAAAACTACCTGCTTTAGTTTGGGCACTTGGGTAGTATTACAGCCCTCACACAAATCAAATGAGATTTGTGAGGCGCATATTTATCTGGTGCTTCCTTGTACTAATATTTATGTGTTTAGATAAATAAATAATAATAATAATCCAACGATCGTTTAAAAGAAATAGGTCAAGAAAAATCTTGAATGATTGAAATACACTACCCACTAGTAAATGAACAAAGCATTTCGGTAAATAGATATACTTTAAAAGAACAGGTTGACATATTTAAAATCTAACAATCCCATTATGATTATTTATTTGCATAGATCATTCAGGGAATAATTATGAAAGAAAGAAAGAAGTTAGTTCTATGGTAAAATATAAAAAGTAAAATTAACAGAAAAAACATTATTCAATTAGAAACAAAACAGTTTTTCAACATACAAACTTTCTATGTATGTATGTATGTATGTATGTGTGTGTACATATCACAATAGCACGAAATAATGAATTTGTCCTTGTCTATCACCGGCAAGAATTTTTAATTGACTATCATCAAGAGTATAAAGTTGAGTAATTTCTGTTTCAACTGGATACATAGCAACCTATGAAAAAATTATATTCATTATTAGAAGGGTTTTTTGTGGAGATTTAGTATTTTCATAGTTGAAAGTGTGAGTCAATTGAAGCTAGACCAGCAAGGAAAACCTGGAAGCACTGATTGACGGTCAACTCGTCCTATTGTGGGACTCTTCAACAGTGCTCATCCACGACCTCGTCTCGTGAGATTCCAACCCAGGACCTACCAGTCTCGCGCCAGAGCACTTAACCGATAGACCACTGGGCCGACATCCCATGGTGTTTATGTCTAACTCTAACCAATCCAAAAAGTTGAGCAACCGTTCACCAATTGTCTTCAGTGAGTTCTTATCTCACAACAGACGTGGTTTGAACTCCACTGGTCACTGCCGTCCAGTGTTTCCAAGTTTTCCCTGATGATCTAGCTTCAATTGACTCACGCTTTCAACTATGAAAATATTTATTATTAAAAATTGAATACTTTCAATATAGTAACTTCAATTAATACAATTGATTATTGAAACAAGGAAATTAAATGAAATAGAAAGTGTGGATGATAATCACACATTCTATACATGTTGACTTATAAACGTGACATCGATTGAGGAAGTCACTTGCAATTGGTCTGAAACAGGTTGATAACTGCAGATTAATTAGTTTGGGTTCGCATGTTTATATTGACCAATGGTTGAAGACATTTGATATGGCTTAGAATAAATCGCTATACTCAAGTCAGTCAGTCACAACGTAGAACTTCGTGCATACACACATCAGTTCGAGTTGCCATACCACATTAGCATAGAGATGTGGTATGGCCCTAACGGTGCGAGGTGATAAATGGACGTGAGTAGGGTTAGTCGTGGAGACAAGAGAGTTATTAGAAGGTGTAGGAACGATTTGAATGTGATCAACTTGGTATTGAGTGCTGTTACGGGTATGAGGGCTGATATCACTTCCTGGCTGCCCACACCGTGGAAGGGTATTTCTTGAGGGACCTGAAAAGGAAGTTGGATTAATGTTGATCTTAACGACCTGGGAGCGTGACCGCAGAGTCCAAGGGACAACTGCTTGAGGTCGGTCACGCAAGGCCATTTTGTGGGAGATTTTTGATGTGTTAGCTCCGTTCTTCAAAGGGCCTTACCGCCAGAGACGGAAACCCATGAGGTAAGGTGAGGAGTGACATTTTTAGGGTCGACCTTTTCTAACCCCCTCCTTCCTTGTGAGAAGACAGCATCGTTGCAGATACTGGTTGTCCGAGGGAAACACCTTAATGCTGTCACACACCTCTACAGTCAGCAGTACGACTTCGCCCTCAGACCTTGAGTTGCTGCTTTTAGTGTTACCGTTCTCCAAACGACCTGCCTAGCATGGTAGAACCTACAGGAAAGTATGTTCCAGCCAATATAGCTCGGTTGGGTCATCACGATAGGCAAGTCCGACCACACATCAAGGTAGCAGCTACGGTCGAGCTATAGTCAAGATGCATTCACGTTTCCCTGACTTTAATTACAAAACTGTCTTATACTTTTTTATACGACGAACTCATTCATTTCCATTGACTGATTGACTAAAGGACTTCAATTATAAAGAAAACTATCATTGTAAAATAAAAGAGTGAGTAAAGTCGAACGATTTTGAGTATGAGACAGTCGTCTACTATTCACTGATAGTGTTCACTTGAATTGACTAAAGTTGAAATCGTAGACTAATGGACATGAATTCAATCATCAAAAGATATTGAATTCAATGTGAAATTCAAAGCTACACAACACCATCCTATGCAGGATTGCTGAAGAGAACTAATCTAAGACTAAACAGCTTTTAAGTGATTTTATATATTCTTCATTTGACGATTAATAAGCAACGGAAGCTAATTGCAAATAGGTAAAATAGTATAAACCTATATGTAATTTTACAGAAGGTTTTCATCACGTAAACTTGTGAAACAAGACTATTTCACTTAGTTATTATCAGAATATAATGAAGCAACCTATTTTAATATGTATTAAATTAATACAGTCTGGTTAGATAATCTGTATAATTGATAATTTATTGGACAAATATAGATCACTTTTATTCGCATTGATTATATCATAGTACTAATATTGGAATATGCCATCTAAAATCTATTTCAACTTGAAATCAACACAACCTATTAGTGAGGGTCGAGTCTTAGTGTGAACATCAACACTGGAATGCGGATATATTCAGATGACGAGTCCTGAATTACACGAGACAATCCTCTTGAGATTCACTAACTAAATATATCTCATAGCAAATATACTCAACACAATCTAATTGAATAGATTAGGTCACTAAAAAGGCTTAATGTTTTTAAGTAGGAAAGACTTTCATCGGCACATTACTATGTAAACAGGAGGAATTATGTAGTGATAATGGTGAGAAATGTACTTCAATGTAATATAACTTATTCTGTCCTCAAAATTTCAGTCAATTATCAATTTCGAATATCTGAAACTTATGAATGAGGGAGTTTTAGGGTTGATCTCAAACTATTCAAGCTTAATAAATGCCAATTGAATGACTTAATGAACACATTAGGCAGTTGTCAAACGACGAGAGTTTAAACGATACTAAAACAACATTTGTCCAAGTAACAAAAGAGATCAACAATGTTCCGTAGCTAATTCACATCGTACACTAACATTAATCGAAAAAAATCAAATTTATAAACCATCGTTAGGTAATAACTGCTTAATCAAACAAGATGTTAACAGTAAAATAAATTAATGTTTATTAGTGATTTAAAAAGTTAGAATTTTATTAACCAGAATAATAGCATCATTAATAAACAATGTGGATCTGGTGTAGATGTGAAGGCATGGATTTGCAAAGAAAGGGTAATATTCCTACAATTGAAGAACTTCTGCAACTAAAAATAACTGCAAGCCAACATAAAAATCAGCATCTTCAATAAAAACGTCAAGACTGTGCTATTGTATGGAGGTGAAATTTGGCAAACTACTAAAATCAAATCATCAAAAAGATACAAGTATTTATAAACAATTTTCTACACAAGATACTCAATGTCCGTCGGTCAGATAACATCAACAACAGCCTGCTATGGGAGAGAACAAATCAGCCTCCAGCTGAAGAGGAAATTAGGAAAAGACGTTGGGAGTGGACAGGATTACGGAATCCATCAAACTGCATCACGAGGCAAGCACTAACTTGGAATCCTGAAGGGAAACGGAAAAGAGGAAAACCAAAGAACCAGCTACATTGGGAACGGGAAGCAGACATCAAAAGGATCAATAACAACTGGAAATAACTGAGAAGGACTTCCCAGGACAAGATTGGATGGAAAATGCTGATGAGTATCCTATGTTGTACAAGGGGCGTAACAGGAACAAATAAGTAAGTGACATGATCAAACCGTTCTAATTTCGTTGCAAAACTATGAGTATGATTGGGATCGTCACTGCACAAATTGAATATACTCATTCGAAAAATATTGTTTGAAAAAGATAATGATTACGAAACAAAAATCACCAAGTACTAGGTATTTGTTTTATTTTACATACAAAACTCCTCAGTATTGCACAAACTTCTACTTCTCACCACTTCACTAAGTCCCCTAACTTACATTATTTCATGATGAAATTGTTGCAAAACTCGATGGTAATAAGTTAAATCAAACACAGAAACACATTATTTTTATTTTAAAAAAAAGACCAAATAACAAAAGAAGGAGAGAGAGAAAAGATAGAAAGATATCAGTTTAGTTAACACTGTATAAACATGAACTAATAATAAAAGAACTACAATTCTAGAATTACATAATCAATAACTAATACAAACAACCAGGAATCCATTTCAACTTATGTAGACAAACATGAATATGAGTAGTTACACATTTTCAATAGGATTACATTAATTCATTGAATTGTCGATTGACAAATGAACTAAAATAACTAACTGTGTCTAATAACATTCAATTTGTACAGATAAGTGAAGATGATATGCATAAAATGAACATATTTACTAGTTAACTTATTCCCTATCAGTCTTACTTGTTTCCACTGGTTTGAATTCACCACTGTGATTGGATTGTTTATTGTACATCTTAGAACATGTAAAATATTATCTGATGTTGAAATTATAAGATAGATTAATGTTGAACAATTGTCTTCAGTCAGTGATAGCAATTTCGCACAATATCCAGTGACTTTTATTGATGAATTATCAAGCTATTCCAAAGAGAAAAGAAAGTATTCACCATGATATCGGTAGTTTTACTCTTTGGATAAAATAAAACTTATAAATACAAATGTTGACTTAAGGCTGTTATATCGATTGGGTGAGTGCGTGCCCTGTTTAATATATGAGTGATAAAACCGCCAATTGGAGAGCAATGAATTTATTGATCGCCCATGATACACAAAAGCCGTATGAGCAGTCTTAAGTACTTGTCTAAAACCTCAATAACAGCCTCTGCAAAATGAATCATTGTCTTCAAACACACTAGGTTTATATATTAAACAAACTGACCACATGGTAGCATAAAATAGAAAATAACAATAGTACATGATTTGGCTAAATGTGTATGTGAATGTGGGGAACAGTAATTAATAGACTAAGGATAACTCAAGAACGAGAAAATCGTATAACAATAGTCTATAGGTCAAAATAAAGCTTATAATAAGAGAAACACGAATACGAATAGTTTAGTTACTCAACAATTATACAATAAAAATATATGTACAGTACTAGTCCAGAAATAGATTTCAACAGTTACCGTTCATTATTCTTATCAGGATATAACAGGTTTAGAATATTATTATTAATAAGAAGAAATATGCCACAGAAATCGAGAACCAACACTAGACATAACAATGTTTACATTTGTAAAACGTCAATAATATATTAGGCATAAATACTCACTGTAAAATCTGTCACCAAATCACCATTTTCATTACAAATGAGAATTTTCCAACAATTGATAAGATGACATTCAGCCAAATACAAGCTGAATGAAAAAAAGGCATAGTTCAGCTACCATTAAAAATGTATGTTACAAATATCAATGATTGTAGGAAACAGAATTCAGTACATAGGTGATAGCCAAGATGCATACAACTCGAAACAAAGTGATAATTTTCTAGAGCACTAATTTAGAGAAATAAAACAACACTGATCTACCTATCATTGGACAACAAAACTAGTTTATATGTTTTCTGTTACTTAGTGCTCACTGGAAGAAATTACTTTAAAATATTGGTTGATTGAAGGGAATGTGCAGAAGATTAATATATCTATGTGATAAGTCTGTTGATTGAACCCTCGATCCGATAACCTAGCCGCTTCTAGTAGCTTTAGACTAAATCTACACGGCGAACTGAACACAAGAGAAAATATGTAAAGTGTAAAAGAAAGCTTTACTCAAAGGTCAAGGTATGTGCGCGAGTATTCATGATAGTTGGGGTGAATTTGATCGCCCAGAATCATACTAGATACAGCAATAAGGTGATTTTCCAGTCGAAAATTGAACATGTGATCTGTCGACAATCTAGATGTTTCAAAGAAACCTTTATTCAGTCCTGGCTGGATAGTGTTTCTAAGCGTTTTCTGAGCTTTTATTGACTTTCCCATTAAGTATTTTGGGATTCCTCAACACTGTGAGATTAAATGTTCTTCAGAAACTTAATCTTTTGACATTTAGCTTTGTCGTAGATTCCTATAGATTATACTGTAAACCGTTTATTGATTAGAACGAAATTTAATCTTTTATCTTTATAATATTGAACGACTTTAGTGCTCTCCTTTTTATTGCATAACGGTAAAATAATTCGAGGAATAGTGACACAGCAATGTGGTACATTTCATTCCACGATTGGTATAATGATTTATTTCACTCTATTCTACTTCACCAATAACTACTAGAATGTTCAACATTAACCGTGCTACCCCGTACCAGTATTCTAATGTTCAAGTGAAATTATAAGATGACTTATTAATTCTCATGTCATTATAGAGATGATTCCACTGGTTAGACTTGAATAATTCAGATATCTTCTGTTTAACCACCATTGAGTAAGTGTCCAAACAAGCAACATAATAGGAAATACTGACGAAAAGCAAATGTACACTTGTAGTTATCATGTAATCCGTATTCCTGTCTGTGATAAACTGACTGCACTAATGAGTTTTAATGTAAACCGACTGCAAAACAAGAGATTCATTCAACCTAAAAAGACATATGATAACAGTAAATGTTATTCCCAGTTAGAGATAATCATATCACATAAACGATTACGTTTGTATTGTGCCACGCACGCAGATAAATCTCCACTATAAATGTCCCTTCACAGTGATATGTGAAAACAGAGCATACATTTTGCGCGTTATCGCTATTGAAAGATTTCGCGATATACATTGTCAATAGAAATACAGCTTAATGAAAAAGTCTCACAATTAAAAATACTATTACGCAATGTTCTTTTCATCCAGCTACTTCTAGTACACAGTAATTACATTTAAATACGAAATATCATTCCAACAAACAACTTACAAATGACCTCCTTCTGCTAGTACGGTACGTAGAACACTCAATGAATTTATCCACATTTCTTTTTCACATGATCCCATGTATCCTGAAATACGACGAAATGTACGACTCTAAAAACAAGAGTAAATATTTTACATGAAAAATGACATTGAAAAAAAGTATTATAAATCATCAGAAGGGGTTTTGTGAAGATTTAGTATTTTCATAGTTGAAAGCGTGAGTCAATTTAAGCTAGACCACCATGGAAAACCTGGAAGCACTAGACGGTCGTTTCGTCCTACTATGGGACTCCTCAGCAGCGCACATCCACGATCCCGCATACGCGAGATTTGAACCCAGTACCCACCAGTCAATTGACTCACGCTTTCAACTATTATGAATCAATTATCTTAGAGTTACGTACACATCACAACTGTGTAAGAAACATGACTCACATTTAACCAGATGAGAGGACCGTAAATTGCATTAGTCATCACAAGAAGTTTACATTTAGTTATTCATCACCAAGTACAACTATGCCATTCATACTACTCTGTCTGAGTCATTTGTTTACAGGTTCAAATAGTGTTCAGTCCATCTATGTATGAAGGACAGTGTACTATGATTAATCATAACACAAATATTGTAGCACAAAGCCAGCTATTTGGACTTTTATTTGGTATAAAAAAAGCAGGTATGTTGGTTTTTCTACTCCATCTGATGACGGAAAAAGTGTCCTCGTCAAGAACCATCCACTCTGCTCTCTTACAGAAGGATTGAAAGGACAAAGGTTGAAGGGACGATGTAACTTAGTGCGTAATCAAAGGGGGAAATTGAGTTCCACTCATCATAGTTGCTCAGATTATGACACTTTATATTATTACTGTTGAGAAGACATACTCTCACCAATAAGGACGAACAAAACACCACGTTTATCCAACAAAATATGTTGTAGTGGTAACAAGATGAATCCTGATTGTCATATACATACCAATTAATGCTGAGTAATAAAGATATCTTCCATGAGCGACTCATCGATATCATAGAAAAACAGTTATCTATCACTCACACATTCCTTTAAAATAATAATAATTTGACTTCACATCCAGTGTCTATTTTCAATTGAGTCAAGAAAAAAAAAAGATTCTATTTTTCAACGAATTTCTCATTTGCATCAATAGGAAAATTGAGAAGCTAATATTCTTCAACAAAGTCTCTAGAGACTCATGGAAAGTTTGAAAATGTTTTGCCAAATCGGCATTGAATAGAAGCTTCTCAGAAACATCTAGAAAAATGAAGGATTATGCTTAACGTTTTGATTGGACGTTACTTATACATTACCATATTTAATGTTTCCAGTAGTATATAGAACACCATTAAACTCTGTGAATACAGTTAACTTTCCATACATAGATTAAACTTGAAGTAAACATCTTACACGTACTTCGCTTATTTTCTCTATTCTTCAAGTGTAGAAGTAGTCTGAGGTTATAAGAAGCGCCCACGAAGTCAGTAACAGTCAGTGTCAGACACATTAGGAAGCAACCATATACACCTCATTTATGCGAATAAATCAACTGAATACTTACTTCATCAGTGTGTTTGCATACAAAAGTCATGCCTGAACGTGTAGTGAAAATTCCAGCATCATTGGTACCTATTGATGAGCACCATAAACCACTGGAACAAAATGTAGAAAATAAAATAACGATAGTATTACCTATACATTTCAGAGTGTTATGTGAATGAATATTAAGATAGGCGTCAGAAAAAAATAATGATTACTATATAGTGAGATCTGGTTAACAGTTAAACGACTTGGTTCATACTGATGAGGAGTGTACTATTATTCTATGCACACGGCATCTAATATTGAGAAGTAAAGAAAATAGCTTTCATTACCACCTGTCATCTCATAGATTACAATTTTAAGATAAAAGTTCGAATGATTGTCTTCAGAGTAGGCTATACAATTCAGTCAATGCGCCCAAATATTAACACAAATTATAATGGTACGAAATGCTGGAAAGTCTATAGTAAACACTTGATTAAACTTTATATTATAGTACACAAAATCATTTTGTATTAGTAATTTAAATTTTATTTTATATTTTACTCAAAAACTCATTTCTATTGAAAAGTTTTATTGAAGGGACCTTTAAACACTGAAAAATAACCATCCCATTTTAGATAAAGAAAATGTCTCATCCATTCGTGACCGACCTGTTTTCCGATTTATCTGTAACAAAAATACGTGTTGATTTCCGTATGCATACATGTTAATTGCGTTGAACGGCAGAAATATGAAGTATTGTTACATGACTTGCAAGATATTCTACATCCATTCATCCTTAGCAGTTAGACTTTAGAAGTAATAGTGCGATTATCGATGGCTTTGTGACAAGAAAACCTATCTTGTGTAGTGTACGACCAAGTGGCATCGTCGTAACATCAGTCTGATCATAAAAGGTTGGATACACGGTACAATGGTGCGAGTAGATCAGATCTACGTTGACGAAACTAGAACACCTTTACTCAATATGCTAAACACTTCAGCGAGTTAGCTGGTCGATATCCACGACGAACTATTGGTACTCCATGAATATGCTGTGTTTTGAGATCATTAAATAAGTTATACTAACACACAACACGAGTTTAGGTGGGTTGAACATTTAGCACCCAAATTATTCAACACTCTTTCATACTGGACATTAATCGCAGATGCTGGGACATGGTAAAACGAAAGCGAAACATGATTACTTTCTGATATAACACTATCTATTTGGTCAACTTCAACTGATAGGAATGATTAGTCTTTATTTATTCTCTAACAATATTTGATAATAATCTTCATGAAAAAAATATATGGCATTTCAACACTGTTCCAATATCAACAAAATTACAACTTACTTTTGTACAGTACATTGATCAAATAAAAAGTTTTCACGTCCATTACTTGTTACAACAATTACATCACCATTGACGAGGACAGCAATAATTTCACATTGTTCTAAATGATTAGGTTTAGCATAACGTGGAGATATTTTTACAATGGGATGACTGGCAGTGAAGCTAATTTATGCGTACAAAATAACAAGAAACAAATTAACAATTCAAATGAACATACTATTGACTTTTAAAGTCAGACATCTCAATAAATAAACAAGTGTAAACACAGTTTAAAAACTCTAAAAACTGCCAAGTACCTCGGTGCTTCACAATTATGATTATAATCCAGAAAATAATTCGAATAGAAACAGAGTACATTGAATTTTCGAAATGAAATTATTTCGTCGAAAATTGTTTTATGTTCGCTCGGCGAGGCATCCAATTCTGTAGTGACGCGATTCGTTAATTGTTTACTTCGATAACCGTTATAATTCTAATCTTAACGGTGCGTAAAATCAGAAGACAAAGGATAGCAGCGACTACAGTTTATTGTCAAATAACTCAGGTCAGAAAGCTAACAACACCTGAGCGAATATGAACGAGCGAGTGAGCGGCAAGCGAGAGAGCGAGTGAACAGGCGAATAAGCGAATGAAACGAACGAGGAGCAAGCGAGCGAATAGCAAGCAATTACATAGGCAATTTATAGTCAAATTTAATAAGAGCACAACAAAGCAAAACAAAGGCTGATAATAGTATTTGCGTGCGTACATATATGGGGAGGAGTATGAGTCATCGAATGATATTTAAGTAGTCAACATTTCGGATAGAGCGTCATGTGCTCTAGTGGTATAGCAGTGCAAAGAATATGCAAATTGTTACTATCCAAATAACGATGTCTGTTAAGTAAGTTGTAAAAAGGGCTCAACCAAAATTGGCTAAAATTGAAATTAATTGTAGGATGGTTGCTATACCTTGTCTGACTCCGGTCCTTACTGGAAATGCATCTGTCAGCTGTCCTCCATGCACCACTTTGCACTGTAGTCCATCGTGTGAGTTTTGGATAATGTTGACAATCTTTTCAGGAACTCCATAGTGTCGAAGAAGTTTTCATAATGTTCTCCTGTCCACGCTGTCGAACGCCTTCTCATAGTCGATGAAGTTGACGTATAGTGATGAGTTCCACTCAACTGATTGTTCAACGATGATCCGTAGTGTCGCAATCTGGTTTGTGCACGACCGATCCTTACGGAATCCAGCCTGATGATCCCGAAGTTCGGCGTCTACTGCGTCTTTCATCCGATTCAGCAGCACTCAGTTGAAAACGTTTAACAAAAACGATAACAAACTGATGCCTCTGTAGTTTTAACATTGGCTCAGATCTCCTTTCTTTGGTATCTTGATGAGATATCCTTCTTTCCAGTCCGTTGGCACTTGTTCCTCTTCCCAATTCTTCTTGAATAGAAGGTGAAGCATATTTGCAGTTATTTCAATGTCTGACTTCAGTGCTTCTGCTGGTATATTGTCAGGTCCTGCCGCCTTCCCACTTTTGATTTGTCTGATGGCCATCTTGACTTCTTCGATCGTTGGTGGAGTGACATCTATTGGAAGGTCTGTGTGTGCTGCTTCGATGTTCGGTGGATTCAATGGGGCTGGTCTATTCAGCAGTTCCTCGAAGTATTCTGCCCATCTTTTCCTCTGTTCTTGAATCTCAGTGATTGTCTTCCCTTCTTTGTCCTTGACTGGTCTCTCTGGTTTGCTATATCTCCCTGCCAATTTCTTCGTTGTATCATTTAGTTGTCTCATATTCCCTTCTTTCGCAGCTTTGTCCGCCGTCGTTGCTAGTTCTCCCATGTATTTCTGTTTGTCGGCTTTAATGCTTTTCTTCACTTCCCTGTTTGCTTCTGCGTAGTCTGCTTGTGCTTTGACTTTCTCTGCTCGTGTTCGGCTGTTGTTAATTGCTAGTTTCTTGTTCTTCCTTTCTTGAATTTTGTCCAGGGTTCCCATAGAGATTCATTCCTTGTGATGATGCTTCTTAGGGCCAAGAACCTCCTGACACGTTGAAGTTAGTGCTTCTTTTATCTCTTTCCAGTTGTCCTCCAAAGTAGATTCTTGTTCTTTCAGTAGATCCTGTAGAGCTTGGAACCTGTTGTTGAGAGTTATCTTGAATTCATGGAGCTTGTCAGTATCTCGAAGGAAGGCTGTATTGAACCTTTGTAGTGCTGTTTGTCCAGTTGTCCAGTGTTTCTTAAGCTTCAGTCTCATCTTGGCCACAACCAGGTGGTGATCTGAAGCTATGTCAGCTCCTCTCCGGGTTCTCACATCTTCCATTGATCTTCAGAATTTTTTGTTGATCTGTCTATCTGGTCTATCTGGTTCTCTGTGGTGTGGTCCGGTGAGATCCATGTAGCTTTGTGTATGCGCTTGTGTGGGAATATTGTGCCGCCTATAACTAATTTGTTGAAAGCACATAGGTTTGCAAGTCTCTTCCCATTTTCATTTCTCTCTCCTAATCCATGTCGTCCAATTACATCTTCATATCCTGTGTTGTCCACTCCAACTTTAGCATTTAGATCTCCCATCAGGATGGTCAGGTCCTTTCGTGAGCACTTCTCTATAATTGATTGCAGCCTTTCATAGAACTGATCTTTATCATCGTCGTTGCTATCATTGGTGGGTGCATAACATTGGATAAGGTTCATTGTGATCCCCCCTTCCTTGTCCTGAATGATGCTTTGATTATCCTGGGTCCATGAGATTCCCATCCCACAAGTGCATTTCGTGCTTCTTTGGACAGCATTAGAGCAACTCCCTGAGTATGTAGAGCATTTTCCCCTTCGTGACCGGAGTACAGCAGCATCTCTTCTGTACCTAGTCTTTGTTGTCCAGTTTGTGTCCAATGGGTTTCGCTGATTCTGAGTACTGCCAAGTTGTATCTCCTCATTTCCATTGCTATTTGGCTGGTCCTTCCTGTCTCTCACATTGTCCGGACGTTCCATGTAACTATAAAGAGTGTTGCTCTGGTTGTTAGAAGGTGCATCGGTCTCGTGACTTCCGAAGAATTTCGGCTTTCATCATGAGACGTCAAAATTATTCCTTCAACTCCCAGGGTAGAGTTTAAGTAGTTTGAATTATTTTTTCTGGTTAGCGTTTTTAGCGAGTTAGCTTTTCTACGGGATGGGGTCGCTAACCCCATGCCCAACCCTACTCCTTTACCCAGGCTTGGGACCGGCAGTAACTTTAGAAGAGCTACAGGCGGAGTGTACCTGCTTAACTCCTACTTCCTATAAAAGGTTCTCGAAGCCCAATTATCATTGGCTCTGTATGTTCGTTGTTGTTCAAGCAAAACATTACTCATTCAAGAAACAATTAGCCTTCTAACATTAGCTAACAAAAAGGTCGACGATGGCCGTACCGGCAACATAGATACTGATAACGAAGATTGTCGTAAATGCTGCCATGGCGTGTGCCAGACACCCAATGGTCCAACAAGAAGGAGAACTTTCTACTCCGAAACAACTAATGAGAGACACGCCATTAGATATTGATAGACAAGTTGCTTCAGCAGCGACTGATGACCCGGTTAGAACCACTGTCGTCCCGATTAGTTCTAATCTGGATGCTGAGACTGGTGGGAAATTGATAACGCGGAAACGTAAAAGAGAAGGAAACATACCTAAAGTGAACGCGCGTATAGTCGGCAAGTCCTTGTTGGACTGACGTCCACCGTATCAGGTCACTCCGCTAAAGTCCAAAAGTAAGAAAATATTTAGCCCTATCGTGGATGTGAACAGTTCGGCTTCACCAAATTTTGTTGTGAGCCTTTCGCTCGACTCATGCGACACTTTTAAAAGGAAAGCTAGCAGCAAGAAGTCAGTAGCTAACATGCAGGACCTAACGTCACGGTCGAAAGCCGTGAACATGACTTTTAAAGAAGTTAAACAGGCCCCTAGTGTAATCATTTGGAATCTAGAAGAATCGAAAGACAACGGCCCTGCCAAGAGACATGCCCACGATCTGCAGTTAGTGGGATCTGTCATCAGAAATGAACTGCCCAAAGGGGTCTCAGGGGTGCATATCACGAAAGTAATCAGACTCGGTAAATATGTTGGAGGCGAGACCCAGCAAAAAAAGATCTTAAAATTAGTATTCGATTATTTTGAGGAAAGAGACGTAGTATTGAATAACGCACGCAAAATTCGTGATTCAAATATTCGTCTTCGACCAGACTGGCCACTTGAGGATCGGATCAAGTGGAAGAATGCCCTGACAGAGTTAAAAACTCGAAAGCTAAACGGCGAAAAGAACCTTAGGATTAAGGGTTTTCGGGTAGTCAGGTCTCGGAAGCATTGGCTTCCAAGACCTGTACAGGTAGAACGTATGTTATCAAAATCACCTCAAATGTGTGTTACACGAGTGCCCGTAGCCTTCGAAATAAGATGTCCGAGCTAAGTTTGATGGTGGACGAGTTAAATCCCGATACAATTGTTATCACCGAAACTTGGCTCACTGTAGATATAGATTGTTCTCCCACCATTTCAGGCTACATCTGTATCAGGAGTTATATAGTTATAAGTAGCAAGGGAGGAGGCATAATGTTATATGTTTGGGACCACTCTCGCATACACTCGATCATATCGGAGGCGCGTGTAAGTGCTACGTGTGAGGTAGTATGTTGTACAATTAGGTCTAGAAACGGGTTAATGACTATAGGAGAGATATATCGTAGTCCGTGTTGTCTGGCTGAAGATTTTATCGTAAGACACGTCTATTCTTGGAGTAAGGCAGAATGTCTCATTTTTGGAGACTTCAACACACCACATCACAGTTGCAGGTGGGGTTTTCAATAGCGTCCTTCTATCATCAATTATCCAGCGTGCACCTGCAAAATGTATCGTAAAGCCGACACATATTGACTTGAAAAATAATCCGTCATGGATAGACCTTATCCTCACATACCACTGTGAAGATGTCGTCGACATTCAACACCTTCTCCCACTGCTGAATAGTGACCATGTCGTACTTTCCCTTAAGTTCCGGATACATGGTATAGTATTTGCATCTGCTCCACCCCGTCCTAATATCTGGAGAGCTAATATTCGGGCAATCAGAGACTGTTCTATCTCGATTGACTGGTCGGTTGATGCTGATGGATCGATCGAAGATGCATGGAATAGGTTTAAGG